GTGACTGGAACTAATTCTGAGTAATCAACAAATGCAATCGAAATATAGCTGTTCCCATGGTCAACATCCTAAAAGCCATGGCGATTCAAAGTCGTGTTCGTTAACATACAGGTATAAAATAGACAAAGACAATTCCCTCATATTTCGATAAACGTTACCGTTAAAGCGTTTCAATTTACCAAAATCCAACGTCGAAAGCACAAAATAGAGAGGCCTACGGTGACTGAATGGAGTGAAGGGAGATCGAGGTAAAGACGAGCTCACATGGCCTGCTGACATGCCCACATGTTTGCCACATATCTGATCACATGTAATCACATATCTAAGTATTAAATGCTACCAGTCTACTGGCTGTGACATTCCGCTGCAAAAATCAAGCAGGGTGTTTATTTTGGTGTCCTAACTGGAATGTGGAGTTTTTCTGCATATAACGGTTTACAGGGATACCAATTCTAGAATGCCAGAGGTCAAAATTAGGCTTGCGTTCTACGAACGGAACCAGGCTTGGATTGTTGAACTGGTCAATTCTACACTGTCAAGCAGCTTGACAGTGCATGCACTTGTCATTCTGATTTACATGTATTTCGTTTTGTTACAAACATTGGGTATTTATGAAGTTGTACTGACAGTCTTTTCTCTCTCTCTCTCTCTCTCTCTCTCTCTCTCTCTCTCTCTCAGGTAGCTTTGTGTGCTAGGTTCTCGTTTGAGTTTGCTTTTGCTCAACCTGATTTATCCTTATCTCTGTCTCATCCTCGCTCCATTCGTTGCCAACAGCGCTATTCGCCATGAATTTAGATTCTCGTTCGACATGCAACAACCAGTGTCATCTTAGCTCAGATTATGAGTGGGAAATGCTGCCATCTACTGAAGAAGTCCCCACTGACGGCCTTCACTGGGAAAGTTTGCAGGGACAAGAAATTGACGCTAACTAAGTCTGGTGCGGTCCTAAAAAGTCAGACTACGAAAGATACTCCTTCGACGGCAGGAGCAGTGGCATTTCCACAGCCTTCCACTGGACAAACCGTCATAGAAACACTGCCCGCTCTTTCTGGCCTGAAGCTCGCCACGAGTCCAACCCCTTCGCTGGCTGCTCTTCAGCTTCAAAAAGAAACTCAAAAGCTCGAGATAAAGAAACTAGAATTGCAGTTCCAGCTCGCCCAGCTACAAGGCAACCCAATCGCCTCGCCAAATTCTACTGAGTCGCCTCCCGGGAAATCACTCGGCGATTTAAAGGCACCTCAGAGGACCTTACACACGCAGCCCTGGCCACACATTTTTGCACCAGGTGAGATGTGTAATGAAATATCTATGCCCGAGTTTTGTTCTGGGTATTTAGTCATTGTCTAGCAAAGTGCCACCAAACACCATTTTGCCGCTCTTCTAGAACATTTCCACTACCTCATGGTCCTCATATCAACCTATCAGTGGCCAGCGGTCTGATCATTCCATTACAAAGTATTGCGTTCCCTTCAGCTTGGTTTGGTTAAACGGGGGGACTTTTTTTTGATCATCTTAAACATCAGTTTTTGACACCATCATCCTTGCTGTCCGAGAGCGCCCCACAGAAAATGGCTAAAGCTCCCGTTGGTGGCGATGCAATTTCTACCCCTCCTAAACCGGAGATTTCGCGCAACCAAATTTGTGATGAATGGTCCTGGTGTAGCAACTGCTCGTCAGGCGAGTGCCCCAAGCAGCACGACTGCATCGTTTGCAAACATTCTGACCACCAAACCCTCGTTTGCCCTAAGCGCAAGTTTCCAGTACCAGCTCGCCGCAAGGACCCACCGGCCCAGGCCTGACTACCTGATACCACAAGTCCACCCCCTGCTTCTTCCCGCCTTCTCTCCGCATCGACTACTAGCTCTTCATCCCATTGCCCTCATCTTTTCCCTCTGAAGTTATTGCTAACCTTGCATTTCATTGCTCTCCATTCCTGGCTTCAGAATTCTTCCGGCCCCACGCCTACACTTCGTCTTCCGGTCCCATCGAACCTCAACATTCCCAAATGGTGCCGCTGTCTTCACGATTACCCTGACAAGTCTCTGTGTGACTTCCTTGAATTTGGCTGGCCAGTCGGACATACCAGCAGTACTCTGCCTGTCCAGTCTATCCAGAATCACGGTTCTTCCAGGTCCACTCCAACAGTCATCGACGACTTTCTTAGCTCCGAATCTGAACTTGGCACCACCTGTGGTCCTTTCGTTACCAGTCCTCTTTCCATTGACATGTCGATCGCTCCTCTCCAAATCGCTTACTGCCGCACCGGCAAACGACGCGTCGTTCTCGACCTCTGTTACCCTCCTGGCCAATCTGCCAACTGTGGTATTCTGCGTGACACTTACCTCGGTGAACTGTTCTCTCTCTGTCTACCTGGCCTGGACGCTTTGCTCGATATCATTGGTCAAAAAGGCCAGCATTGTCATTTATTCAAGAAAGATCTCAGTCGAACATACCGCCAGTTGCGTATCGACCCCTACGACTATCATCTCTCGGGTTACCAGCACCGTGATTACCTATACTTCAATATTGCTCCTCCTTTCGGCCTTCGCTCCTCCGCTATGATGTGCCAGACCACTACTTCTGCTGTCACCTTTATGTACAAGAATCTTGGCTACTCTTGTACAAATTACATCGACGATTTTGGGGGAGGAGAGACTCCATCTAAATCGGCTGCTGCTTTCCAGGCCTTGGGTGATCTCTTGCATTGCCTTGGATTGTGTACCTCTCCTGAAAGGATTCATCTCCGGCTACTTCAATGGTCTTCCTCGGTGTCCTCGTCCCTATGACTGAGATGACCATCTCCGTCACTACTGACCGCCTTTCAGAGCTTCATTCCTGCTGCGCATCTATGCTCTCCGCGACGCATGTTTTACGACACGACTTGCAGTCCTTGCCTGGCGTCATGTCCTTTGTCACCTCCTGTGTACGTCCCGCCCGCGTTTTTATGTTGTCACTACTTTACACCCTCAGATAATACCGGTTGTCCAAATACTGCCTGCTTCCAAGAGTCACTTTTTTACCGTACTACAATGGTGTCTCGATCATTAACACTTCGCCTTGACTTGATGATCATTTCTTCCTCTCCACGGACGCATGCACCACCTGCGCGGGGGACTATTTCAACGGGCAGTACTTTCACACCCCTTTCCCCAGCCCCATTCTCCGCCAGTTTGAACATGACATTAATATCTTGGAACTGTTGATGACAATGGTCACGCTTAAGCTCTGGGGTGAGCTTCCACGTGGCAAACATGTTATTCCGCAGTGTGATAATGAGAACAGCGTGCTTGCCATCAATTCTGGACGTTGTCACATTCCTGGGATGCATCTTTGTTTACGGGAAATCTGGTTTTTCACCGCTCGTTAGGATATTGACATCTTTGCCCGGCATGTTGCGGAAGTGGAAAACTCCATCGCTGATCACCTCAGTCGTTGGCATTCATCTCCAGTTCATCACACGCGCTTTGCCATCTTGACAGCCGACACGCCCACCAAACACGTTCTATGTTCACCTCATTTGTTTCAATTCGAGATTGACTGCTAATCTGGTCTTATCTCTCCCTCTTAAGGCATTTCTGCTCACGTCACCAACCCATCACCTACATCCCCGCATTCTCAGTTTTAGCACCGTGTTTCTCAGATACAAGATCAGGCTTACGCTCCAGGGACTTTGCGCAACTTACACTCTCACTGGAATTCCTTCTACTGGTTCTGCCAAGCTTTCTTGTAAGTTCCTCTCCCGGCATTTCCTTTGACCATTTCCTCATACGCGGTTTTCTTAACTCAGCGGACATCTTCATACCAATACATTTTGGGTCATCTTAATGCCGTCCGATTGTTACACCTCTACCATGGTCTGCTTATTGACTCTTTTACGTGTTTGGAAGTTTCACTAACCAAGAAAGATCTCAAGCCTGTTTTGGGTACTGCCGCTAATCAAAAACACAAAATTACGCCTGCGATTTTGAGTGGCATACATCATTCTCTTGACAGGAACTTACCATCTCACGCCATGACATGGGCCTTGTCCATGGTGGCTTTCTTTTCATTTATGCTTAAGTCAAACTTGGTTTCACCGACAACTTCAACTTTTGACTGTGAACACCACCTCACTAGGAGCGATATCAAGTTCACGACTTCTGGCTGTTTCCTCCGCATAAAATGGTCCAAGACACGCCACCATAAGGAAGGAATTCATGTTGTCCCTCAGCCCAGCATTTCACATTCTCCTCTCTGCCCAGTTAACGCCATCCACCGTTACTTCAGTTTGGTGCCTGCCAATCCTGACGATCCTTTCTTCTGCTTCCCTACTGCCACCAACCTTACTCCTGTCACCGTGTTATTCTTCACTGCGACTCTCAAGTGACTTTTAGCAAGTTCGGCGTCACCCCTGCAAACTATTCTCCTCACAGTTTTAGACATGGTGGCGCAACTTTTGCGTTCCAAGCAGGGGCTCCAGAACATTTGCTCCCACTGCATGGGGATTGGCCCTCTGACGCTTATAAGGACTACTTATCACTACCGCTACGTACACACTCCGCGGTAGCTGACATTATGGCCGCAGGCCTATATAGACCAAATCGTTGATTTTACAAACTCGTTCGGTTATTCCTTTTCTTTTCTTATCATTTATACTTATTAAGAGTCCCTGTCCATAAAAATGGAAAATAACTCGGCAAGGGTCGAAAATTCGATTTCGCTCATATTTTCATGGCAGATAGGCTGGGGCATGACAAAAACTACTGGATAGTGTTTTTGGCAAAACATCCTTTTATTTCAAAGAAATATGCAAATTACCAAATTCCGTTAAAATCGTCATTTGACGCACCATTTTATTAAGCAAGTTTGAGANCCAAGAGAAGTCCTTAACAGCACTTCCTCTCTAAACCATTTTTGAAAGTTGCACGCTTTTGGAATTTGAATGGCCTGGTCAGCGGGTTAAATTCTGGGTTAAATTTTCTTGTGAAAATAGAAGTCACATTTAACTAAAGAATGTTGGTCTGTAAACAAACACCTCAAAAGAATGTTCAGCTAGTTAATCGGTCTAGTGAAAGCGCAATCGTTGAAAGGCACAAAGAAAGGTTTTAAAATTTCTTTTGTGTACCTTCTGCAAAAGCAAATTGAACATTGCGTAAAATGTATGTTAACTTTGGAAAACATTTACAAGAAAAATAACAACATCGTATGGACATTTCGTGCAATCTGAAAGCCAAACATGTACTAAAATTTATAGACGGTTTATAGAGATCACAAAATCTCCGTAAGTGTATGATCATTCCCAGAGATAGCAATTTACAAAGGAAATGTAGACAGTTTACTAACTTGAGTGAGGTCTGTTGATAAATTCATGTTTCCGATGGCTGGGCGGACGGGGGAAGGACTTGACGTTCTCAATACAGATGACAATGCGTCTTCGTCTCTTGGGTTAAGTCTTAGTCGTCCATCTCCCTAAGTAAAAAAAAAAAGGTTTTTGGTTCTTATTTAGTTTTTTTAGTTGTGATTTTCATCATATCTCAAGCTAACAAATAGTTGCTGTGTTTCTGTTGAGTAATAAGTCATTTTGCAGTTTTGTTCTCAGTTTCCTGGGCTATAAATGCAAGCTGAGGGTGACCTAGCTTTGAACGATGCAAACGTATCTACTTTTCTTATCAAATGGAAAGTAGTTTGCATCAGAACAACTTGATTTACCATTCCTTCGGCCAGTCCCTTAGATTCTCCATTTCGTTGGCCAGGACCTAGTTTGTCACGAGTTCCAGCATTACAACATTTCGTCGCATCTTCCACATTTCTAGGGGCATTAACCGCATCCTCTGATAGAAATGCCTTCTCCTTTCCATAAACATAGTGAAAATTAATCCAAGAGAAGTCCTTAACAGCACTTCCTCTCTAAACCATTTTTGAAAGTTGCACGCTTTTGGAATTTGAATGGCCTGGTCAGCGGGTTAAATTCTGGGTTAAATTTTCTTGTGAAAATAGAAGTCACATTTAACTAAAGAATGTTGGTCTGTAAACAAACACCTCAAAAGAATGTTCAGCTAGTTAATCGGTCTAGTGAAAGCGCAATCGTTGAAAGGCACAAAGAAAGGTTTTAAAATTTCTTTTGTGTACCTTCTGCAAAAGCAAATTGAACATTGCGTAAAATGTATGTTAACTTTGGAAAACATTTACAAGAAAAATAACAACATCGTATGGACATTTCGTGCAATCTGAAAGCCAAACATGTACTAAAATTTATAGACGGTTTATAGAGATCACAAAATCTCCGTAAGTGTATGATCATTCCCAGAGATAGCAATTTACAAAGGAAATGTAGACAGTTTACTAACTTGAGTGAGGTCTGTTGATAAATTCATGTTTCCGATGGCTGGGCGGACGGGGGAAGGACTTGACGTTCTCAATACAGATGACAATGCGTCTTCGTCTCTTGGGTTAAGTCTTAGTCGTCCATCTCCCTAAGTAAAAAAAAAAAGGTTTTTGGTTCTTATTTAGTTTTTTTAGTTGTGATTTTCATCATATCTCAAGCTAACAAATAGTTGCTGTGTTTCTGTTGAGTAATAAGTCATTTTGCAGTTTTGTTCTCAGTTTCCTGGGCTATAAATGCAAGCTGAGGGTGACCTAGCTTTGAACGATGCAAACGTATCTACTTTTCTTATCAAATGGAAAGTAGTTTGCATCAGAACAACTTGATTTACCATTCCTTCGGCCAGTCCCTTAGATTCTCCATTTCGTTGGCCAGGACCTAGTTTGTCACGAGTTCCAGCATTACAACATTTCGTCGCATCTTCCACATTTCTAGGGGCATTAACCGCATCCTCTGATAGAAATGCCTTCTCCTTTCCATAAACATAGTGAAAATTAATCCAAGAGAAGTCCTTAACAGCACTTCCTCTCTAAACCATTTTTGAAAGTTGCACGCTTTTGGAATTTGAATGGCCTGGTCAGCGGGTTAAATTCTGGGTTAAATTTTCTTGTGAAAATAGAAGTCACATTTAACTAAAGAATGTTGGTCTGTAAACAAACACCTCAAAAGAATGTTCAGCTAGTTAATCGGTCTAGTGAAAGCGCAATCGTTGAAAGGCACAAAGAAAGGTTTTAAAATTTCTTTTGTGTACCTTCTGCAAAAGCAAATTGAACATTGCGTAAAATGTATGTTAACTTTGGAAAACATTTACAAGAAAAATAACAACATCGTATGGACATTTCGTGCAATCTGAAAGCCAAACATGTACTAAAATTTATAGACGGTTTATAGAGATCACAAAATCTCCGTAAGTGTATGATCATTCCCAGAGATAGCAATTTACAAAGGAAATGTAGACAGTTTACTAACTTGAGTGAGGTCTGTTGATAAATTCATGTTTCCGATGGCTGGGCGGACGGGGGAAGGACTTGACGTTCTCAATACAGATGACAATGCGTCTTCGTCTCTTGGGTTAAGTCTTAGTCGTCCATCTCCCTAAGTAAAAAAAAAAAGGTTTTTGGTTCTTATTTAGTTTTTTTAGTTGTGATTTTCATCATATCTCAAGCTAACAAATAGTTGCTGTGTTTCTGTTGAGTAATAAGTCATTTTGCAGTTTTGTTCTCAGTTTCCTGGGCTATAAATGCAAGCTGAGGGTGACCTAGCTTTGAACGATGCAAACGTATCTACTTTTCTTATCAAATGGAAAGTAGTTTGCATCAGAACAACTTGATTTACCATTCCTTCGGCCAGTCCCTTAGATTCTCCATTTCGTTGGCCAGGACCTAGTTTGTCACGAGTTCCAGCATTACAACATTTCGTCGCATCTTCCACATTTCTAGGGGCATTAACCGCATCCTCTGATAGAAATGCCTTCTCCTTTCCATAAACATAGTGAAAATTAATCCAAGAGAAGTCCTTAACAGCACTTCCTCTCTAAACCATTTTTGAAAGTTGCACGCTTTTGGAATTTGAATGGCCTGGTCAGCGGGTTAAATTCTGGGTTAAATTTTCTTGTGAAAATAGAAGTCACATTTAACTAAAGAATGTTGGTCTGTAAACAAACACCTCAAAAGAATGTTCAGCTAGTTAATCGGTCTAGTGAAAGCGCAATCGTTGAAAGGCACAAAGAAAGGTTTTAAAATTTCTTTTGTGTACCTTCTGCAAAAGCAAATTGAACATTGCGTAAAATGTATGTTAACTTTGGAAAACATTTACAAGAAAAATAACAACATCGTATGGACATTTCGTGCAATCTGAAAGCCAAACATGTACTAAAATTTATAGACGGTTTATAGAGATCACAAAATCTCCGTAAGTGTATGATCATTCCCAGAGATAGCAATTTACAAAGGAAATGTAGACAGTTTACTAACTTGAGTGAGGTCTGTTGATAAATTCATGTTTCCGATGGCTGGGCGGACGGGGGAAGGACTTGACGTTCTCAATACAGATGACAATGCGTCTTCGTCTCTTGGGTTAAGTCTTAGTCGTCCATCTCCCTAAGTAAAAAAAAAAAGGTTTTTGGTTCTTATTTAGTTTTTTTAGTTGTGATTTTCATCATATCTCAAGCTAACAAATAGTTGCTGTGTTTCTGTTGAGTAATAAGTCATTTTGCAGTTTTGTTCTCAGTTTCCTGGGCTATAAATGCAAGCTGAGGGTGACCTAGCTTTGAACGATGCAAACGTATCTACTTTTCTTATCAAATGGAAAGTAGTTTGCATCAGAACAACTTGATTTACCATTCCTTCGGCCAGTCCCTTAGATTCTCCATTTCGTTGGCCAGGACCTAGTTTGTCACGAGTTCCAGCATTACAACATTTCGTCGCATCTTCCACATTTCTAGGGGCATTAACCGCATCCTCTGATAGAAATGCCTTCTCCTTTCCATAAACATAGTGAAAATTAATCCAAGAGAAGTCCTTAACAGCACTTCCTCTCTAAACCATTTTTGAAAGTTGCACGCTTTTGGAATTTGAATGGCCTGGTCAGCGGGTTAAATTCTGGGTTAAATTTTCTTGTGAAAATAGAAGTCACATTTAACTAAAGAATGTTGGTCTGTAAACAAACACCTCAAAAGAATGTTCAGCTAGTTAATCGGTCTAGTGAAAGCGCAATCGTTGAAAGGCACAAAGAAAGGTTTTAAAATTTCTTTTGTGTACCTTCTGCAAAAGCAAATTGAACATTGCGTAAAATGTATGTTAACTTTGGAAAACATTTACAAGAAAAATAACAACATCGTATGGACATTTCGTGCAATCTGAAAGCCAAACATGTACTAAAATTTATAGACGGTTTATAGAGATCACAAAATCTCCGTAAGTGTATGATCATTCCCAGAGATAGCAATTTACAAAGGAAATGTAGACAGTTTACTAACTTGAGTGAGGTCTGTTGATAAATTCATGTTTCCGATGGCTGGGCGGACGGGGGAAGGACTTGACGTTCTCAATACAGATGACAATGCGTCTTCGTCTCTTGGGTTAAGTCTTAGTCGTCCATCTCCCTAAGTAAAAAAAAAAAGGTTTTTGGTTCTTATTTAGTTTTTTTAGTTGTGATTTTCATCATATCTCAAGCTAACAAATAGTTGCTGTGTTTCTGTTGAGTAATAAGTCATTTTGCAGTTTTGTTCTCAGTTTCCTGGGCTATAAATGCAAGCTGAGGGTGACCTAGCTTTGAACGATGCAAACGTATCTACTTTTCTTATCAAATGGAAAGTAGTTTGCATCAGAACAACTTGATTTACCATTCCTTCGGCCAGTCCCTTAGATTCTCCATTTCGTTGGCCAGGACCTAGTTTGTCACGAGTTCCAGCATTACAACATTTCGTCGCATCTTCCACATTTCTAGGGGCATTAACCGCATCCTCTGATAGAAATGCCTTCTCCTTTCCATAAACATAGTGAAAATTAATCCAAGAGAAGTCCTTAACAGCACTTCCTCTCTAAACCATTTTTGAAAGTTGCACGCTTTTGGAATTTGAATGGCCTGGTCAGCGGGTTAAATTCTGGGTTAAATTTTCTTGTGAAAATAGAAGTCACATTTAACTAAAGAATGTTGGTCTGTAAACAAACACCTCAAAAGAATGTTCAGCTAGTTAATCGGTCTAGTGAAAGCGCAATCGTTGAAAGGCACAAAGAAAGGTTTTAAAATTTCTTTTGTGTACCTTCTGCAAAAGCAAATTGAACATTGCGTAAAATGTATGTTAACTTTGGAAAACATTTACAAGAAAAATAACAACATCGTATGGACATTTCGTGCAATCTGAAAGCCAAACATGTACTAAAATTTATAGACGGTTTATAGAGATCACAAAATCTCCGTAAGTGTATGATCATTCCCAGAGATAGCAATTTACAAAGGAAATGTAGACAGTTTACTAACTTGAGTGAGGTCTGTTGATAAATTCATGTTTCCGATGGCTGGGCGGACGGGGGAAGGACTTGACGTTCTCAATACAGATGACAATGCGTCTTCGTCTCTTGGGTTAAGTCTTAGTCGTCCATCTCCCTAAGTAAAAAAAAAAAGGTTTTTGGTTCTTATTTAGTTTTTTTAGTTGTGATTTTCATCATATCTCAAGCTAACAAATAGTTGCTGTGTTTCTGTTGAGTAATAAGTCATTTTGCAGTTTTGTTCTCAGTTTCCTGGGCTATAAATGCAAGCTGAGGGTGACCTAGCTTTGAACGATGCAAACGTATCTACTTTTCTTATCAAATGGAAAGTAGTTTGCATCAGAACAACTTGATTTACCATTCCTTCGGCCAGTCCCTTAGATTCTCCATTTCGTTGGCCAGGACCTAGTTTGTCACGAGTTCCAGCATTACAACATTTCGTCGCATCTTCCACATTTCTAGGGGCATTAACCGCATCCTCTGATAGAAATGCCTTCTCCTTTCCATAAACATAGTGAAAATTAATCCAAGAGAAGTCCTTAACAGCACTTCCTCTCTAAACCATTTTTGAAAGTTGCACGCTTTTGGAATTTGAATGGCCTGGTCAGCGGGTTAAATTCTGGGTTAAATTTTCTTGTGAAAATAGAAGTCACATTTAACTAAAGAATGTTGGTCTGTAAACAAACACCTCAAAAGAATGTTCAGCTAGTTAATCGGTCTAGTGAAAGCGCAATCGTTGAAAGGCACAAAGAAAGGTTTTAAAATTTCTTTTGTGTACCTTCTGCAAAAGCAAATTGAACATTGCGTAAAATGTATGTTAACTTTGGAAAACATTTACAAGAAAAATAACAACATCGTATGGACATTTCGTGCAATCTGAAAGCCAAACATGTACTAAAATTTATAGACGGTTTATAGAGATCACAAAATCTCCGTAAGTGTATGATCATTCCCAGAGATAGCAATTTACAAAGGAAATGTAGACAGTTTACTAACTTGAGTGAGGTCTGTTGATAAATTCATGTTTCCGATGGCTGGGCGGACGGGGGAAGGACTTGACGTTCTCAATACAGATGACAATGCGTCTTCGTCTCTTGGGTTAAGTCTTAGTCGTCCATCTCCCTAAGTAAAAAAAAAAAGGTTTTTGGTTCTTATTTAGTTTTTTTAGTTGTGATTTTCATCATATCTCAAGCTAACAAATAGTTGCTGTGTTTCTGTTGAGTAATAAGTCATTTTGCAGTTTTGTTCTCAGTTTCCTGGGCTATAAATGCAAGCTGAGGGTGACCTAGCTTTGAACGATGCAAACGTATCTACTTTTCTTATCAAATGGAAAGTAGTTTGCATCAGAACAACTTGATTTACCATTCCTTCGGCCAGTCCCTTAGATTCTCCATTTCGTTGGCCAGGACCTAGTTTGTCACGAGTTCCAGCATTACAACATTTCGTCGCATCTTCCACATTTCTAGGGGCATTAACCGCATCCTCTGATAGAAATGCCTTCTCCTTTCCATAAACATAGTGAAAATTAATCCAAGAGAAGTCCTTAACAGCACTTCCTCTCTAAACCATTTTTGAAAGTTGCACGCTTTTGGAATTTGAATGGCCTGGTCAGCGGGTTAAATTCTGGGTTAAATTTTCTTGTGAAAATAGAAGTCACATTTAACTAAAGAATGTTGGTCTGTAAACAAACACCTCAAAAGAATGTTCAGCTAGTTAATCGGTCTAGTGAAAGCGCAATCGTTGAAAGGCACAAAGAAAGGTTTTAAAATTTCTTTTGTGTACCTTCTGCAAAAGCAAATTGAACATTGCGTAAAATGTATGTTAACTTTGGAAAACATTTACAAGAAAAATAACAACATCGTATGGACATTTCGTGCAATCTGAAAGCCAAACATGTACTAAAATTTATAGACGGTTTATAGAGATCACAAAATCTCCGTAAGTGTATGATCATTCCCAGAGATAGCAATTTACAAAGGAAATGTAGACAGTTTACTAACTTGAGTGAGGTCTGTTGATAAATTCATGTTTCCGATGGCTGGGCGGACGGGGGAAGGACTTGACGTTCTCAATACAGATGACAATGCGTCTTCGTCTCTTGGGTTAAGTCTTAGTCGTCCATCTCCCTAAGTAAAAAAAAAAAGGTTTTTGGTTCTTATTTAGTTTTTTTAGTTGTGATTTTCATCATATCTCAAGCTAACAAATAGTTGCTGTGTTTCTGTTGAGTAATAAGTCATTTTGCAGTTTTGTTCTCAGTTTCCTGGGCTATAAATGCAAGCTGAGGGTGACCTAGCTTTGAACGATGCAAACGTATCTACTTTTCTTATCAAATGGAAAGTAGTTTGCATCAGAACAACTTGATTTACCATTCCTTCGGCCAGTCCCTTAGATTCTCCATTTCGTTGGCCAGGACCTAGTTTGTCACGAGTTCCAGCATTACAACATTTCGTCGCATCTTCCACATTTCTAGGGGCATTAACCGCATCCTCTGATAGAAATGCCTTCTCCTTTCCATAAACATAGTGAAAATTAATCCAAGAGAAGTCCTTAACAGCACTTCCTCTCTAAACCATTTTTGAAAGTTGCACGCTTTTGGAATTTGAATGGCCTGGTCAGCGGGTTAAATTCTGGGTTAAATTTCCTTGTGAAAATAGAAGTCACATTTAACTAGAGAATGTTGGTCTGTAAACAAACACCTCAAAAGAATGTTCAGCTAGTTAATCGGCCTAGTGAAAGCGCAATCGTTGAAAGGCGCAAAGAAAGGTTTTAAAATTTCTTTTGTGTACCTTCTGCAAAAGGGAATTGAACATTGTATAAAATCTATGTTAACTTTGGAAAACATTTACAAGAAAAATAACAACATTGTATGGACATTTCGTGCAATCTAAAAGCCAAACATGTACTAAAATTTATAGACGGTTTATAGAGATCACAAAATCTCTGTAAGTGTGTGATCATTTAAGTAGATTGCAATTTACAAAGGAAATGTAGACAGTTTACTAACTTGAGTGAGGTCTGTTGATAAATTCATGTTTCCGATGGCTGGGTGGATGCGGAGAGGACTTGGCGCTCCGATTAACGATGACAATACATCTTCGTCTCTTGGGTTACGTCTTTGTCTTCCACCTCCCCGAGTTAAAAAAAAAAGGTTTTTGGTTCTTATTTAGTTGGAAAAATAGACCGGTCTGTAAAAATAGCATGACATGGGCTTAGTATGGGAGTTGCAGGCTCCTAGTCATGGGCCCCTGACCAAAGTTGACTCTAGGGTACATACATGAAGGGCTAAGAGCATAGTGCTATGCACGTAATGCATAGTAGGGCGATTTCTGAAGAGTACTTTAGTTGGCAAGTACAGGAAAGATGAGCACTTCTGCTTTATGATATGGCAGGAGCCCATAATGGGCTCCAGGATATGGCTCAAACTGTCAGAGTGAAGGGCCCAAAATTAAAAAAATTCTTTAGTAGCCATTTGGCAGGCAAGGCGTGCAAGAGTGCAAGAGTTATTTTTTGGTGAATTAAATGCCTCCGGAGGTAGCAGCACTTACTCTTAACAGTTATGATAAGAGTAATGATAAGACATAAGAGATAACAGTTATGATAAGACATCTGTTAAGAGGCGTTTGTTCCAAGTTAGTGAGTGTACCAGCTTTCTAGAGTCAGTCGTTGAAAATAGTTTGTACTGTTGGTTCTCTTTGAAACGCTTCTCAGTTGTGTTAATCAATATCATCGTGTATTAATTTGAAGTGGTTTTATTGTTAAGAACGCGCTATTCCGTGACTCGACATATCAGACGTGACAAATAATAAGATTAATTTTTGCTTATCTGTGAAATGATAATTAGCCATGTGAAAAAAAGTCGTACTTGTTCCATTTTTCACTTTTCTCCAGAAATTATTCTCATTCATAACTAGCCGTGTGTAATTTCTTTGGTTTTGACAGAGAAAACCACTTCTAATGATTATCTCAGTATCGAGTCTAAGGAACATTTCAACAACTGTATTACTCCGTGAACAGCCAGCTAAATAGTGCTACTAAATTGAAACTTGCACTCACAAACTGAAACATGTTGCGCAAACGTAAACGGTCTGGACTGAATTCTTTTTTCGTGAACTGTACGTAATGCAAATGATATCGACGGGACCCTGGCGACCATCATGGACAAAGCCCCCTCACCATCCCAATGGTGCATCTTGCACTAAAAACAATCGCTCCTGTCCTAGAATTCACCAAGTTACCGAGCGGCTGAGACTCATTTCATTCGAAATGTCCCGGGGCAAAGCCTTGATGACATGTTAGTGTATTCCAAAGACTATGACTCTTCAGCTGATTATCAAATTCTGAACTCTTTTGAAACCCATCCAAAAAGTCCTGGGCTCAACCATAGTAAACGGAAGCATTGCAAAAGTCAGAGGAATACCTGTTTCTGTTTGTAGAAAAACAAAGATGGCCGTTCTCAAATCAGGATGAAATCTCCACACACACATGATTCACCTCAACAAGCGGCAATTTGAGTGGTTGTTTATAGTAGCTCCAATCTGATTGGTGTGACATACATACATACATACATACATCACTCACTCACTCACTCACTCACAAACGTTTCGATGCCCTTGTTAAACCCGTGTTACTTTATGCATGTGAAATTTAGGGACCAGAACTATTGTCATACAGAACGCATTTTGATAAAAGCACAATTGAACAAGTCCACATTAAGTTCTGTAAACAAACACTAAACATCCCATGGTATACAGAAAATATTGCCTGCAGGGCAGAGCTTGGGAGGTACTCTTTAAGCATTGATATAAAAGCCTCAATCTTTAGCTATTGGTAAAGATTGAACCATTCTTGTAGCAACATTTTGTTACGTGAAGCATTTCAATATGCAACAACTTCTACACATTTCTTTGATGTTACAATTAATGAAGAGATCATTAGGGGGTATCAAGTAACAGAATCAACAGAACCAGTAACACGGCAACACATCAAGAACGGTCGATTAAAAATAAACAAAAATCTTGGGAATCAGTATTCACAAAACTGGCTTGAGACTAAGAACAGTTCATCAACAACTTCAAGGGAAACATTTTTGCACAAGGAAGTTAAAAAGAGTTATCAATTTGAAAATTACCTGAAAACGGTTACAAACTCAGCACACAGAATTAGCCTGACAAGGCTTAGGTTAGGATG